TTTTATGTGATACTAGCTTACAGACTAATGAGAAAAAAAAAGACAACAGAAACTAAAATTATTCTCCTATAGATTGTACTACTGTAATTTCTCATTATAAAGCTGAATTTAAAGGCTCCTCTCTGAGAAATTATATAGTGATAAGAATAAAAATCCGATTGCTTATTTCAAACCATCATATCCCCTAATGCGGCATTGCCTAAGTTACTATGTTTTACTTTTGTATTTGACAACTCTGTCTTATTGACCATGTAGACAATCTTACTGAAACGGCATATTAAATATACACAGTACAGAATATGAAGTATTAAAGTAGTAAACTTTCAGAAAGTGAAGTTCTTAGAACTGTCAGAACTATGAAAGACTTCAAATTGATCATTAGTCCACTTATAATAAATGTCAAGTTTATATTTATGGGGAAACTCCCAAAAAAGTCAGCACCTACTTAACACTTAGGGAAAAAATGTAGAGACAACAAAGTATGAAATATATGAAGATACGTGCTTGTGTTTCTGAATGAAAGCTTATACATGTGTATAGCTATGAAAAAATGTATTTATAAAAGCTTTTGCCAACTGATCAATAAATATTAACATCCCCTCTTCCACAGAGTTAGAGATGGATACAACTGTCCCCTTTTCTCGAGGAGCTCATGATCTAGAGAAGAGATGAATGCATGAACAAGTTAGACCACATTGTGATAAGGACGCAACTAATGTATAAAGAAATGGTCATTAGAGCAGAGAGCAGAAAGCATTAATCATTCCTGGGGATGTGGAAGACTTTCCAGGGAAAATGACATTGTGGCCTGACCGTAAGGGATAAGTAGGATTTTTTTTCCTTTTTTAGACTAAGAAAGAGACGAAGGGTGCTTCACGCATGAACAAAAGCAGAGAAGTGACCACGTATAAGGGCAGGAGCTGACTCCAGGAATCACTGGATTGGTATAGGGGGGCTCTTTAAGAAGGCTACAGAAACTGCATATTATGCAAAGACAATGCATGGATTTCATTTTTCTTACATTACAATAAATCAATACTTTAATTCCACGTTTCTATGAACTTTTTGAAGCCCCCCTCACATGATACCAAAATAATGGACTAGAGAAGGTAGCCTGATAAGGGTCACATTGCTAAACTGACATGCTGAACTTCACTCTAGGTCCTCAGGGGAGCCTTTGAAGAGTTTTAGAAGGAAACAGCTGAGCTGGAGCTGGGACAGAGTATCCTAGAGGGAGGAGTCCAAAAAAGGGAGGCTAGTTAGAGTATCATCACTCATTCAGAAGCAGAGGCAGATCCAGAGCTGGAAGGAAAGAGGTAAGTTTGATAATTGTTGGGAGGTAAAAAAGGCCATCTTGGTTGATGACTGATTCAATGTGGATATTGAAGAAAGCGCTCAGTACTCAGAGGGAGATAGCATTTTGTGTTTTTCAAGCATCTCCTTACCCCGAACATGATGTTCCTTGCTTCCCCTTGCTCAGGTAGCTAGGGCCCTTTATTCTCTTCATTCTGAAATCTGTGTTATTACTAAGACATGGAAAGAAAATCGTCACTGTTACTGGATGGAAGTTCTAGGGCAGAATCTTGGTCTTGTTTACTCTTCTATTTCTAGTATGAAAACAGAGTCTGACATATCTTGGTGTCCAATAGATACTTGCTGAAATTTTTTTTTTGAGATGTTTTTGCTATAGGGCGCATGCGCTCACCAGATAGACAGAGAGAGACAGAGAGACAGAAAGCGAGAAATCACTTCCCAGGGGGGATGGCCATGCCGCAATCCTTTCTCCTCCATTCTCCTCCTGGGATCTTGAGCACGCACACACGTGTCCAGTGTGAGTTTAAGCCACCGGGTCCGGGGCTTGAACCGCGGTCAAATACGTGGGAGTCCAGTGACATAGCCATTATGCTAACTGCTGGTCCCGATACTTGCTGAATTTTTAAAAAGCTGGTAATGGAATTTTAAAAAGGAGTCTTGGAGTTGATGATACGTGTCAAAGTTTTGGGGCGAAAGGGTAAATGGCAGATTGATTTTTCTTGTCTTTCTGGCCTAGATAATGATGAGTAAATGACAGCTTGTGTTTAAACATCAAGAGCTGAGGGTCTGGCTAACCATCAGGTGTATATTAATTTTTCTTGTCTTTCTGGACTAGAAATAATCTCATAGGCCATGGTGGACAGAAAGGACAGGGCTCTAAGTCTGGCCACTTTAGGAGTCAGAATCACAGAGGGCAGAGGAATGACAGAACCTGAAGAGCAGCTTTGAGTAGGAAGACCTAGGGTCTCAGAGCCTGAGGACTGCAGGTGTAGGAGTAGGAGGACTGAGGCCTCACCTCCCTTTGGAATGCAGAGGAAGTCTCCACACCAGGATTGCAGAACAGCAGAGATGCCCAGATGGCATGGATGAGGGGGCTGAGAAAGTTCCCCAGGAGTCAGGCAGCCCAGAGTGGCACAGATGAGCATCTTACCTCAGACACAGGACAGAGCTTAGACCATTCTTCTTAACAGGTGGGAGTCAGAGTCTAAAGGGTAAGGGAGGGAGCACACTGAAAGTTTTGGCATTTGAGATTTTCACATTGAGTTTGGTAATTGAAAATTCAAAAGGGAAAGATCTATAAAAACTGTTTGGGGGACTTATGAGTTGGATTTCATTTAGCATTTTCTGAGAGAGTTCAACAAAAACCACAATTCGTTAAATATTATTTTTCATCTATCGTATTGTGCTCCCTGAAATACCACCTTACATGGAGTCACGTGAATCCTCGCTTCATCACATTAAGGCTTGCGCCTGGAAATACTTGAGAGGGCTTTTGGATATTCTGAGGTTCATCTGGGACTGATGTGATTATGGGAAGGGTGTCTCATTTCCAACCCTCCTTATGATGGTAATCGCTTACTGAGAGCAACCACCATACTCTTAATTCTTGGATGCCCATCCTCATAGTTTAATATCTTGAAAATCAGGTGTGTCTTAAAAACTTAATCATCAGCATTTTTCTGTGCTAGTAGTATCTATAATGTGCCTTAATATCAATGGCATCTCAGTTTAATAAAATATATTATATGCATCAGATATAAGGGGTCTTCACAAAGCTCATGGAAAATGCTATTATGAAACAAGTATGCATGGATTTCAGGGTTTTTTTTTTTTTTAACCTAAGCAAACTTGTACTTTAATTCCATGTTCCATGAGCTTTTTGAAATCCCTTTATACTATTCTGATCATTTTATGATCACTACCATCTTACAGACTAGAAACAGGCGTGAAGTTAATAACCCTCTGGAGGCCAGGGCATGTTGCGGAGCAGGGTGTTCAACTGGTCTTGCTTCAGACCTGACCTCAGGGTCATACACAGTGCTGTCTCTCAGGCTGGAGGCCAGAGGGTACCCTGGTAGGGGAGGCCAGCATGCTGAGTTATGTTTCTCTCATTCTTACAAGGAGTCCTTCAAGCAATTCTGTAGAGGTGGCACTGTTTTTGTTCCTATTTAATCTGACAAGAATACACGTTGAAAAGAGGTTAAGTAACTTAAGATCATACTGCTGGTAGGCAGAAGCCAGAAGTGGGATATTGGCCTGATGGTGGTCTGTCTTTATCGCCTAAGTAATAGACACATCTTTCGGAGGTAATCTGCTCTGTAAAAAGCACAGGAAAGCAGCATTGTCAGTTCAGACCATTTTGATATTTACAGAGGTATCTTATAAATGATCTTTGAAAAACAGTAACTACGCTGTGACTGACCACCAAAATGTATTTACTCTCTATACCAAGGAGACAAAACTAACCTTTATGAGTTTGAAGGCATTTATCTAAAACAAATTTGCCAGGCACTGGGATTAGGTTACAGTTCCATTTTGAAAGGCAACCACATAGTTACTTTAATAAGATCTTATATCCTGATGTTGGTTGGCAATAAATGCAGCCTGTATTATCAGCTCCCTGGAGTAACACAAAACAAAGATAAAACTCAGTTGAAACTAGAGGTGCTTATTAAATACAAACACACTTTAATTAATTGATCTTCATTAATTACTCTTTTAAAGACAATGTATAAATGGTTGATTATAGCAATAATAATGAATTGCTGATCCAGATTCTAGACATGCTACTTATTCTTCCTCATTCAAATACATTTGAGTCATAGACTTTCTTAGAGATTATATTTCTCAAATGATAATACCTGGTGTTTGTATGTTAATGCTAATTTTCTAACGATTGCAGAGCTTATTATATCCCTACAACCACAGTGTAAGGTAGGTCAAGCCAATGTATAGATCTCAATTTCCCAAATAATGAAATCCAGGCAAATAGAGGTTGATTGACTTGGCAAAGGTCACTGGCACTGCTGGTAAACCCAGGAACAGAATACTCACTTTCACACGCAGGCCAAGAAGGCTGGCATTTGAAAGGAGCTCTATACAATGTCACTTTCAATGCACTTAAGTGGATACTAGGCAAACAGACTTGCTTAACAATGTAACAATCATGCATTGAGTTTTGGTTATCAGGAATAAATGAAAGTTTCCAAAAGAATCTTTGTAGAATGGATTCACTGCTCTATTAATCAACAGGAGTTATTAGGAGAAGCATACCAGATATCAAACTTGTGATCTCTGGGCCTAAATTTAAATGATACATAATCATGGGGGTGAAAACATGAATTAAAAAATTTTTAAAAATGAACTTACAGGAGAAATTAACACACTTTCATGTATCCACCATGGCATAGCATTTATGAGCACGTTTTTGACAGTTTCATTGGAAGGGGCAGACAGGAAAAAGATGGTTCCTTTCTCTCTAAGCCAAGGGTCACAATGCCAGAGGCTGTGGAGCACAGGGATGAGTACTAGAAGGGAGGAAGGTCAGCAGAGCTGTTACCTTTTTGGGAGTGGGAAATTGTTTTTGTACTAATATATAACCTCAGTATTTACATACTGAAACATTTTTATTTTAAATCATGTTCACTTCATGTCCCTAGTGGGTTAGTTCAGATATTGTATTTTTTCTATGTGGGAGGGTTAATCTTGAACCTGTGGGGAGTGAACTGATCCCAGATTTCTCCAAATCCCTATTTCTTTGCCCCTAATTCTTATGTGTCCAAAGATAGTGAAGCAGACACACCTTTGTAGGAAGGAAGACACACTGATTTTTTAAAAAGTTAAATGTACCTCTAAGTATCTATGAAGTTCATGAAAGGGTAGTAAATGTAAAAGCCCAAATATCTGTGATCTAAAAAACCTGCTTTTAGCTCTAGATGTACATTCTCAAAGGGGGATCTGCACCAGTATACCTGGAAGTTGTGAAAAGTACAAATCCTTGGGCTCCACTTCAGGCTTACTAAATCAGACTCCAGAGACGTGGTCCAGCAATCTGTTTAAACACTATTTCCAGGAGATTCTGATGTTCAAGTCTGAAAACCACTGCTTAAGCTAGTGGTATTACTAGTCGCATTGCTGTTACGGGAACATGGAGGGTTACTTTCTGAAATGTGGTCTTCTAACTTCACACTCATACAATGCACTGATTTCTTATAATCTTTGCCCTTGAGAGCTAAGAAGAGTCTGATGAGAGGCCCTAGACCCGAGGGCTGTTTGCGCAATGCTCCTCTGCTTTTCAAAATCTCTCCCTCAGCCCAGTTCTCTTCCATCTGCCAAACTGTTTTTATTTCCTGAGATTTTGAGTATCTGGAGGTTACAAGGAGTAGGGAGGGCACTATTATTTTTATAAAAATTATTTACCAATCTACCCAATATTTAGAGGGCCCCTGCAAAGAATAAGGAATCACATTGTCAGGAAAGTCATGACCTGTTTTTCTATGCAAAAATGTATCGAGATTTTCCTGACAACCCAATAGTATTTCCCCACTAAATGTGGGCAAGAAAGGTGCTTGGTTAAAATAAAACTTACTAAAGAATAAAGAGATTTGAGGTGAGAGGCATGGGGAGAGAGAACTGAAATGGAAGGAGCAGAGTGGGAAGTGGAGAAGAGAGATTCGAGCGTACACTCCATCAGAGAGAGATGCACACCGGGGTCCCGTTTGGGAGGACACACACACTCTCATTAATATTATAATACCAGTTTGATATTTAAATAAATTCCTCAGACTTCTTTCCTCTGGTAGTAATAAAATATTGTGTTATCCTACACTTTTTACTAATTGTGTATTTTACCTTTGTGCTGCTTTTGAAAGCAGTTACGCAAAAACAAAACAAATATCCAAACTATGGGGTTTTACTTTTTTCAAATAGTATAAAATGACATAAAGTGACAAACTAAAGGTTAGAATATCTCCACAAAGTTCTGATTGAATAGAATATACACTTAAGTATTAATATTAAAAAGATGAGTAAGTTTTGGAAAAAAAAAAGTGACTTAGCGAATTCTTTTCTTCTCTAACAGATGTTTTAGTCTAAACAATAAGCACTTGAAATCTTTTATTACAGTACCCATGACAAAACAGTTTTATACAAAAACTGATGAAAGTATAAAGGAATAAAAACATGAAGTGACAGCACATTGTCTTTAAAGTATTGGGAGAGAACCAATATTTCTATAAACTCCCATGAAGAATTACAATGACAAGTATATTTCTATAGAAAGCAGTGGAGGGCAGGATATCATTTAAACAGGACACACTCCAAGTCATGTTCTTTATAAGGCAAGACCAGAGACATGAAGACAATCTTCAGTTTTTAAAATTTGATCACTTTATGCCTATACTTTCTGGAAAAATACTAACATTTTAAAAGAGGTTTTTATCTTATTGAGAGAGAGACCGACCGACCTGGACTGGGTCTTACATGCCTACACTACTGTAGCTGAGCCAAAAATTTCTTTGGATAAAATATGAGATCACTCTATCAAATGATCAACTTGACTCTGTCATAAATAACTTAAAAAGAAGGCGTCTGTTCCATATCTAAAAATTAGTTAGATAAAAAGTACCATAAAAATGAGCCTTTGCAAAGACCACGGTTTTTACCTTGTAAAACTGCTACAGCACTTCCTGTCAAGGCTCACAGCACAGCGAGACGTGACTGCCACCATGTGGAAGATGCATGCACTACAGCAAGAATATGTATTGATTTCAAAATCAAGTACATCTTCAATTCGATAAGAGAACTATCATAATCTTTATTATCAAATGCTATGGAAACAACAATATATTGTTAGGTCTTAGTTACTTTGTTCTAGATTAATGTGATGTTCACTTCTGGACACTGATACAGTATCAGCTAGTAAAATGCCCAAAAGGAAATTATTCCGTCTTGCTAGTCAAAGGCCGTTCCACGCATGAGCAGCATCTGTATTATCTGGGAGCTTACTGGAGGAGCAAAATCATGCCCCACCTCATATGCACTGGGTCAGAGCCTGCATGTTAGTAAGATCCCCAGGTGACCCATGTATACGCTGAGAGCAGAGAACCAGCATCCCAGTTCCTGACTCCCATCTCAGCTTTTGTTCTCCACCCACCCAACACAAGGGTAGGGACTTAACCCAACAACTCCAGATAACTAAGAAAAAAACAGGTGGCCTGATATGAATTACCTAATTAACTTGACTTCCCCTTTGTAATGTGGAAAGGAAATCCATTTTTTTTTATCAATTATTTTCTTAGTTTCAACTGATAAGTAAATACTATATTCAGGGGAAAAAAAGAAATTTTCTAGAAAAAAGGGCTGTTTAGTTTCAGGAGAGGTTAGAATATTTTATTTTGCCCAGTCAGAGCCCTTCAGCATAAAGAGACATTCATATACATATGTATGAACATTTTCCAGAAACATTAATTTATAATACATTTTTTAAAATACCAGCTTAACGGTATTTATTTACAAAAATATTACCTAATTTTAAACCTTTAGCTGTGATGACAGTTTGTAAAGTACAGGAATGCAAAATAACTACAAAGTTTAACACATTTTTAGTGTTTGCAATAGTGCTTTTCTTTCTTCTTCTTTTTTTTTTAACGAAACAGTACACAGACAATTTTTAACCATATTTCAAATGAATATTCCAGCAATTACCTCTGAGATAGTTCCTGGAGCTGAGCAAGATTTAAAAAACAAACTGAAGCAACTGAGAAATACCTGCATGTACAGTTTCAGGTATACATAAAGCTAGAGTCTATACCAAGCATGCTTGTCCCTGAAGCGGACAATGTTAGAAAAACTTAATCTTGCTCTTTTTCATAGTTTTTTGGTAATGCATTTACAATGAACCAATAGTATATAATTAGAAAGTAAAACATTTTTCTGGTTATAACTACCAAGTTGAGCAGAGGTCACACCTAAAGTACGGGTACAGTTTATTTACAAAAATAGTAATAATGATGATAAATAAAAAATAAAAAATTATATGATTTACCCTCTTTGCACTGCTTTCCACGGATACATCAAGTCTGTTTTCAACTCCTGACATTGTCTACAGTTGAAGCAGAGTTTAGACAACAGATAGCAAAAGTATAAAGAAAACCAAACTCCCAAGTAAATAGGATTCCATTGCCATTAATCTCTATCCATTTTAAATGCCTGAGTCAAATGACCTACCACGAATTAAGTATCAATTTAGTTATATCTCATACCCTATGGAAATTTTAAACTATGAGCCTCACTGTAAAATACAGGCATATCGACATTTGTGATTTTTCTGAAGTAAAGATTAAAATGAGGAGAGCACTCACACGTAGCCATGGACTACCGCACTCACTCTGTACATGAACTGTGCCTAATAATTTAAGATTGGATTAGTAACTGAAGAAAGCAATGTTAAAATCCTGATCATTGGGAAGTTATTAAAGTCACTTAATCCGGCTGAGAAAGATCGGCAAGAGTTTTCCCTTTAAGCGTTTTTTGGTTACAACTGTCTTCTGTCCACAAAACCTTTAAAAGTTCTGAGGCAGTAGTAAGATCATTAATATTCACAGGAAAAATAATCCCCATAGCACTTCACAAGAAATTGATCAGAATGATGAAAGTGCAATTAACAAAAGCTGTAAACATTATCTTCACATTCATTTTCAAATGAAAAAAAAAAAAAACAAAAACTTGTGGGCATAAATTTCAATCCAAATAAACAAACATCCTAAAGAAAAAAAAAAAAAAGACATTTTAAGATATAGGAGTGCTCTTTTTTTTTTTTCAAAGTAAATACAGATTAAAAAGTCTCAGAATATTGATCAAGTATCAAACTGATAAGGAACAAATTCTATAAACTACAAAATAAAAACCTTCATTGACAAAAATACATAAACTCTGTTTTCATTTTTTGGAAATTTATTTTTTAAAAAAGGTAGAAGAAAATACCTGGAAAACTATTTTAAATATATATATCTATATATATATCTATATTTTAAAACAATAATTAAGGTAGGCATCCAACAGCAAACTGTAGCTATTGAGAAAGATCTTGCAATTACTGTTGTGGGCATTTCCCCCCAAAACAAAATTAGTATTTATTTGAAAATGATCAATAGAGGAATGGTATCTCTCCTGTCATGTGTGAAGACTTTTAAATGATGCATGATTTTTTAAATAATCAATTGTATCTCGATATGAGATACCAGTATTTCTTATTATAAGCATAAAACATAACTTTTTGTATGGATAATATACATACTTTTAAAGTACTTTGACTTAAACTTAACAAGTTCACCATTTTTAAAATTAAAGAGTACATTTATAAAAGTTCTATTTTAAAACTAAAAGTGTCTTCTCTAGCAGTATGTATAAATATAACACATTACTATATGATCATGAGACAAATCTGAAAGTGTTGCAATAATTTAAGACCAAGAACACTGAAACATACAGCAGATGATCTTACTTTTGTTATTTTAAATCTTTGAAAACTATAAAACCCTACTGAAGGTTTTAAAACTGATCAGTTTGTTTAAGGTGCAGCTAGCAGCATATTCATGATTCTGGTATAGTTTATAAACATAGTCTTGATTAAACTGAGAAATGTGGATTAAACAATAATAAAAAGTTTTCATTACCTAAAAAAGTGCAGAAAAAATTCAAGTTTAAAGTTCAGTGCTCTTTATTTTGCAGAAACAAATAAACAAAATCCCAAAAGTTAAACTGTAAAATAAATCTTTGCCACAAAAATTTACCTTTGGATATAGCTTTTCTAATGTCACATGAGGAATGCCTTAAGCAAAACATGTATGGAATATAGAACTCAGGGTAAAACTTTAAACTCCAGAGTGTCTTCCATATATTCTCCCCACCTGTCCCTCCCAGCACCCCCCTAAGGGTAGTTAACACTTTCAGACTTGTTTAAAACACTCACATATCTACATTAAATAACTTCAGAGGAACCTACAATTGAGAAGTAAAAGAAGCAAAAGAAATGCTTCTTTCTTTAAAGTACTGTTCTTAAATTGTAAAATACTTACACATAATACCATAGACAAGTAGCAGCATTTTTTCACATCCATAAAAAAAAATCAAATTAAGACATTAGTAAAAGCTCAGTTGAACAATTTTTTTGAAACATTTTGTACAATTGAAATGCAAACAAAGATGATGCAAAATGTCAAATGAAAGCAATGTGCAGAATTACTCAAAATATAGGATTTCAAATAATGTTTTAAGCAAAGATATGTGTGTTTCAGTTCGGAAAGTAAAATGAACTGGGTCTATGGTACATACCAGGAAATCATTTTCTACTGACAAACTAGGAATCAATGAATACTTCAATGATGTTGGAGTCATGGACAAACGCAACAAAATAATGTTGAGGATATGGAGAAAGCACACGAAAATTGTTTTTCTGTTATTTTCTATTTGACTCTTTTTTTGTTGTTGTTAGTTTTCCTGAAATCTGGCTTGCTGGTGACTATTACTTTTTGCATTTATAAAGAAAAAAAAACAGAGATGCTATCTCTCAAATGACAATAAATTCCCTGGGTTAGTTATTACTGCAGACTATCTTATCTACAGACAGAATCAAGTAGAACTCTGAGAAACTTATTTCCTATACTCAAAAGTACTTTAAACTTTCTAATCCTAAGTGAGTCTCTAGTATGTTGTGCAAGATTTGTAGAATAACTTAAAAATAAAATAATTCAAAACACTAATTTAAAATTTTCTTATAAAATCCATCATAGTTAATGTATCTACTTCTCTATATGAAAACAATTACAAGATTGGTTCATTTTATATACAACAGGGAAAATGAAGCTGATATACAAGTAACAGAAAATAACACAGCAAATGAAATAACGGGAGCCAATACAACCCTCAACATGGACAGGGAATCAACCAATCTATTAATTACTAAATGTTTCTCACCTTCTTTAAATCCATAATTCTTGCCTTTATTGATGACAGTCATTAAACTGTGCCTTTAAAAAAGGATGTAATACCTCCTGTGATATATCATGGAACAATGGGATTCTAGATAATACATAATACAAATAAAGCAATTTGTAAATTGCTGAATGTTCATCAGACAGTGGACATTAATTAACCAGAAATATGTTATTTAGCAGTACCTTCTACAAATCCAAAAACTTTTGAAAATGACTATTTTTAAATAGATCTCTTGGCTTCATCCATGATCTCTATCACATACATTTATAGTCCCTACCCAATGGCATTTAAAGTAAATTTAATGTAAACTTTTGTATCCAGTAGTGCACATTTTAAAACGTAAACAAAAAAGCTTTATTAAAGAAAGGAGTAAAAAGGAAAAGATGCATAACAGACTGCGTGGAAAAGTTAAGATGTTCTACATATACCTTTAATGATCATATGGAACAGACAAACCACCACCACGTTTGCTATCAACGTGTGCTCTGATTCTCTCCTCGTAGAAAGAAATGCTTTAAACAGATTTTTAAAGACAGAATTTAAATTTCATTGACGTTAATTGTAATGCTTCTATTCTGCTCCTCCTTTGCTGCTTGAACAACAATCTATAGTCTCAGATTAGCCTGCATTATGGTGCTTACTTCCACATCCACCAAGAGGTTTCTTTCCCATTTGTAATGCCATTCTAGGAACGCTGTCCACTGCTGGTCTCAATTTGCACTGTATTCCAATCCAGAAATAATTTAGTTACCAAAGTGTACATGATTTCCTTTCCTTTTGGCTCTTTTAAACCTTGAAAGGATATGTACAGATTTATAGTATATTTCTACAGAAAATACTTGTAGGTCATTAAGACTAGACTCTTACATAGATAATTACTGACAAGAGATGCTTGTAATTCTCCATGCGATAGCATGTGCACTAAGATTTAAGTGGCTCATCACCTGAGTGTATTGGAACTGTTAGCAAATAAAGGGCATTTTAAAAAGGGAGCTGAGCATTTTACTGAAATGATGAAACTTTTTAAAGCAATTTTAATTAAATAATGCAAAGGTACATTTGGTTAAACATTTTATAAAAATTCAAGCAAAATTAAAAACTTAGCCAATTTCAACATTTCTACAAATTTAACCAGGAACTATTTTGGTCAAATCCACCATTAGCTGAATTTAATGATAACAAGGACAAAGAACATTGAAGTATTCTCCTCACCACAATGGAGGTTATTCTCACTTTCCACACTGCATAGCCACTACATGGAAACTCCCAGAATGATGAGCAATTCGGTCATGCTCTACACTTTTCTTTTCAATGAAAAGTGATGTATCGCCTTGTTTTGCTTTTGACAAAATATGAACTAAACACAAGTATATAATAACAAGAATCCAAGAGGAGCCCATACACAAGTCAACTATGTGTATGCTTTTATTATGTAAAGCCCACCATTCAGCTTATCTGTCTAAAGATGTGGTAATAAACAGTTTCTTTCTTTTTCACTAATGATACTGATGACCGGTCAGTTTAAGGGAGGAAAAGTCCAAGACAGCTGATTAATGCAGTCCAATGTCAAATATACCTATTCCGGCTCCTGGATGTCTGACTCACTGCCTCTCCCCCAAACAGGTCAAACACTGATGGCAGACACAATGGCACAACATCTTTTGGCATATGAAAGTTTAATACAGGAATGATCCAGGAAAAGTCCCTGCCACGTCACCTCATCCCTCTTTGCTTCTTCATCGGTCACACGTGACCTGCTTAGTTTCCAAACCTTCGACTCATAGCTGGCACACACCATTTACTCCAGTTTGAGTGTGTGCAAATACTCCTCAGTTGAAGCCACGTGACTGAGGTAAAAGTGCATGATTGTGCTAGGAAAGAACAGTGTTCAGTGATGAACACCCCATCAGTGTTAACTTTCCTAAATAAATCAATGAAATGAAAAAGGAAAACTGTTTTCCTTTTGGCTGAAGTAGTACTTAGTGGATTCTGGTTGTCAAAACTGGTACCACTTCTTATCTTTGTATTTCAACATCATCTAAAGGGGAAAACATAAGAAAAACATGTATTTAAGATGGAAGGACAACAATATTTATAACTTATAAATGGTTTTTATATTTTTCAAAATATCATATCATTCTGTAATATGATGCAGTATTTTTACATTGCTTACTTCTATGCAATTTATTGAAAACAATAATTACTGTTCTATTTAGAGGAAAAAAGACTACAACCATTAAGAAGTAGCTTAGAAGGGTCTCAAACAGCTTACAGATGTGACATGATTTTATGAACTATGCTAATGAACTATAAAGTAATTTTCAGTTCTCTAATTTGAACAAAAACTAATCCTTAAAGGACCTGGAGAACGAAAGTTTTAAAATCCTACTATTGCTGCCATCTTGAATTTACGGAGCACCTACTTGGAGTTAGACACCGTAATGAGGCACTTCCCCTACGTGGTTTCATTCGATCCCCACAACAGTTCTTGAATTAGGCATTATTCTTCTCCTCATTTTATAAATGAAGAAGTTGAAGTTTCTATGGGTTACCTAAAGTGCTACAGTGGTGAAACTGGGATTGAGCCCAGGAAACCTGATTTGAGAATCCATAATGACAACTACCTCAATGTGTTGTCTTTCTTTGCCTCTCAAATATGAATCAAGAACATTTGGAAGAAGAGGAACTTACCAATTCAAGACTGAGCTCATTACTAAATATTTAGAATATGGACATAATCTGAAATTGACTGAAGTGCTGTACACCTTAGACATCACAGTCAGGTGCAGGGTTGTGACAACAAAGATTCTGACCTATATTGAGGCCATCAGCCTCTATCTCAAGGGTCTGTGGTCTTGGTACAAATATGAACAAAGGATTTCTGAATCTTTCTGAAGCCCTAACAGGTTATCTCCCAGGTCAAATTACCTGTTTCATGCATCCTAGCTTTCAGCATTCTTGTGTAAGGAAGAGATGACTACTGATTGAAAAACGCAAAGAAGAATTAACTACCATAGCCTGGGAACTCATGTACAAAAAACTCTTGGATATAGACAGTTTCTTCAGAAACATTCAAAATGTCCACAAGGGCCAGGCTAAGAATGAAACATGTACATAACCCAGCGTAAAGCATCAAGGAATGGCAGATCTGTGTGTCAAAATGAAAAACGTGGATTTTAAATGCTCTTACATCAATTTTTAAGAGAACTTTCTGCTGGTCAAACAAAACATATTACTGAGAGAGCCAGTTAGGGATTCTTACTGTTCTAAGCTCTACCTTGATTTCCTAGGTCCATGAAAAGGAATTAGATTTCAATTTAGGTCTAGAGAGGATAAGAGTAGAAACCAGTGACTGTAAGAGAGCAGAATAATAATAATAATAAACACAAATAGTTTGCAAAGAGTCTCATGGTGAGTAGGTTCCTTCCAAATGCATAAACTTCAGTAAGAGACCAAAGGCTACTGAGTCGCCTTCTTATAATGGTTCCCTCTGGTGGCAAAAGTGGGAATTTGCAGTTGTACAAAAGATATGTGCAAAGATAGCTATAACAACACACTAATTTTCATACTTGCTTTATCTACGATTTTTGGTATAAATATCTGGTAGACATACCTCATGAGCATGTTTAGAAAAAGAATCTGCGCTTGATAACATGGCTGCAGTTCTTTCTTCCAGGTCACCAAGTTTTTGCCCTCTTTCATCTAGTGCCAGCCTGGCTCGTGCTAATTCACCAACTACTCCAGATGCTGCCCCTTTCACGCCTTCGATGCCACCAGGGCCAGGGATATGCTGTGCGAGACTCCGTGAGGCCTTTCCCGAGGACGACTCTCCAACTGAATGGATTTGATAAATGAAGAGTAACTCAAAAGATGAAAATTTTGTTCATATAAAAATTTTACTACATTAAAAACAATTTTTTCATGAAGTAGAAATATACTTGAAAATTGTACATATTTCACATTATAATTAATATTTCTCTTTTATGGCTTTAATAATTTTTAGATACTTTTTCAAACATGCAAAAATACAATGTACATTAGTAAGTATGTGAGAGTTCATACTGCAGGACTTTTGTTAAAAAAAAAGGTAGCATAGTGGTTAAAGTGCTGGACTCTCACATGGTCGACTGCAGCTTGAGTCCTGGAGCAGGCAGCTTGAAACTCACACTGGGTGTGTGTGCGTGTGTGCTTCTTGGAGGGAGTATGGAGGAGAAGGGGTTGCAGTGTGGCCATCTTCCTTGGGGAGTAATTTCTTTCTCTCTCTGTCTGCCTGTCTCTGGTGAGTGCATGCAACCTATAGTAAAAACAAAACAAAACAAAAGAAGGAGGGGGAGGGGAACTGACAATCTTTTCTTGAAATGAATGGGTATGCTGATACTAACTTAAGTAACAGTAAAAATCGCTCTTCGGTATGTAAAAAAAATAGAGATAAATTAATTTAAACATATTTAATTTCAGGGCCAGGTTGTGACACAGTACTAATGCAACTAGACCCACATGAGAAAGGTCCTGGGTGGGGTCCTAGGACTTCCCTGAACATCAGAGGTGTGCAAGCATATCCCTGATATTGGGGGAGGGGGGCTGGCTGTGATGGAGTGGATGACAGAGTGGAGATTCTATTAAGAAGACCTGTTTTGGGAACCAGCAGTTAGCGTAATGGCTATGTCACTGGACTCCCACGTAGTCGACCGCGGTTCGAGTCCCCGGACCTGGTGGCTTAAAACTCATGCAGGGTGCGTGTGCATGAGTGCCCAAGATCCTGAGAGGAGAATGGAGGAGAAGGGATTGCGGCGTGGCCTTCCGCCCTGGGGGTGATTTCTCGCTTTCTCTCAGTCTCTCTCTGTCTGTCTGGCGAGCGCATGTGCCCTATAGCGGAAACCTCTCCAAAAAAAGAAAAAAAAAAAAAAAACCTGTTTTTTTCTCTAACTCTCTCTCACATGAAAGAGCTAACAAACCTTAAAAAAAGATACTTATATTCAAATAAGTTGATTTAAATTTAAATATACAAATTTGGTTTACCTACTCCACAACTTTTCCTACTTAAAAAACAAAACAAACCAAAACAAAACAAAAAAAAACCAAAACTATCCTTAGGCTCAGAAGAATATTAAAAATTTACTTATTGGGCTGACAGATGGCATGGTGGTTAAGGGCGCTGGATTCCCACATGGCCCACCATGGTTCGAGTCCTGGACCTGGCAGCTTGCTTTCTCACTTTCTCTTTCTCTCTCCCACTCTGTCCCTCTCTGGTAAGTATGTATGTATGAATGAATGAATGAATGAATAAATAGTTAAATAATTCTTTAAAAAATTTAGTCATGATTCTATTTCAGTCTCCAAAAGATGTAAATATGTTGCATTTTTCTCCATTTATCTTAACATGTAACCAAATAAATCAAATTTTTCCTTCATTGTTTCTGTTCCCTTTGTAATTCATACCCTCAGTAGTTAGATCATTATACAAGTCTTAGATCTTAAATTCTTTAAAGGCTGATCCTAGGTTCCCTCTTCCCTCATCTAAACACTACTTAAAAAAATACGTGCACATATATGTATATTTTTATATATCACATATATAAAATTCACATACCATATTTGACATTAAAGTGAACAATTCAGTGATTTCTTTTTAAATTCACAAGCCTGTGCAGCCACCACCACACTGTCTAATTCAGAGTATTTAATCACTCTAACAGAAATCCTTGCCTGTTACCAGCAACTTTCATTCCCCTTCATACCAGTCTATGGCAACTGTCAAAAGACTCTCTGTCTCCATAAATTTGCCTACTATGAACATTTTCTATCAATGGATTCACATAATATGTGGCCTTTTGTGGCTAGCTTCTTTGACTGAGAATATACTGTAAAGTTCATTCATGCTGTAGCATGTATCAGTACTTCCTCCCTTTTTATGGCTGAGTAATAGATCATTTTATGGATAAACCATATTTTGCTTATATATTCATTAATTGACGGGCATGTCATGTAAGTTGTTTCTACGTTTTGCTATTATAGATAATATTACTATGAACATTTGTACACGTTTCTGTGTGAATGTATGTTTTCAACTGTCCTGGGTTATGCCTGCAGTGGGACTAGTGAATCATACAGTGACTAGGTTTATCTTTTTCAGAAACGGTCAGCTTTCCATAGAGGTAACACCATTTTACATCCCTACCAGCAATGTATGAAAGTTCCGTTTTCTCCATTCTTGCCAATATTTGTAAATGTGCACCTTCTTGATTATAGCCATCCTAGCAGAAATGACCATTTTTACTTGTCTTTCCGTAATAATTAATTGATATTCGGCATAGTTTCATGTACTATTGGTAATTTGTATATTTTCTCTGGAAAAATGCCTACTGGAAACTTTTGCCCATTTTACAATTAGAGTATTTTTTTTAAAATCATGAGTTGTTAAGAGTTCTTTATAATACTCTGAATACTAGGTTTATCGGATATCAGATATATGATTTGCAAATATTTTATCCATTTTTTTGGACTGTCTTTTCATTTTCTTGATAGTGTTCTTAGAAGCACAACATTTTGTAAATCTGATGGATTCTAATTCATCTGTCTTTTTTTGGCTGCTTATGATTTAGGTGTCACAGCTGAGAAAAATCCAAAGTCACAAAAATTTATACCTGTATTTTCTTCTGAGTCTTACATTTTTTTCTTACACTGATCCATTTTGAGTTAATTTTTATGAATGGTGTGAAGTTGGGGTCCAGATTCATTATTTTTGCATGGGGCTATCAAGTTGTCTCAACATCATTTGGTGAAAAGACCATTTTTTCGCCATCACATTTTCTTGGCATCCTTGAAATTAACTGACCATACATGTACAGATGTACTTTTAGACTCTCACTTCTATCCCATTCACCTACATATCTAATGGGCCACTGGAAAAGCCGTGACACACTTTTGCACAGAAAATATGTCACAGCTTCTCTGATGATCCAATATCTTTATACCAGTATCACACTGTTTTGAAGACTATAGCTTTGTAGTAAGTTTTGAAATAAGAATGTGTGAGTCCTTCAGTTTTTTCTTCTTTTTAAACAATTTTGTATGTGTATGTGGCTATTTTTGGGTTCCCTGCATTTTTGTATAGACCTTAAGAACCGCTTTTCTGCTTTCTGCAAAAAATCAGTTGGGATTTTGATAGGGATTGTACAGCATCTGTACAGCAATTTACAATATTAAGTCTTCAAATCCATGAACATATGAATGTTGAACTATGCTGATTTTTTAATACTATTTGTGGTAGAATGATGTCCCATACCCACCCCTAAAGATGGCCACATTCTAATCGCTGGAACCCATGAATGTTTTCTTACACAGAAAAGGGATTTTGTTGATTTGATTAAGGACCTAGATGGAGAGATTATCCTGTATTATCTTGGGAAGCCCATTCCAGTCACAAGGGTCTTTAAAAGCAAAAAGCTTTTCCCAGATGTGGGCAGACATAAGTCTAGAAAGATGTGATAGCTCCAGCTTTGGATGTTAACAAAAAGGCCATGGACCAAGGAATGTGGACGGTCTCCAGAAGCTGAGAAGACCAAGGAAGCATACTGTGCCCCAGAACCTCCAACAAGAAACAGCTCTGGCAACATCAGTAAGATCTGTCTTAATTTCAAACCCTCAAAACTGTAAGGTAATAAATGTGGGTTGTTTTAAGCCAACAAGTTTGTACCCATTTGTTAGCAGCAAAAGAAAACTAATACAGATAGGAATTTCAAAAACTTCATTTTTATTGTTAATATAAGTTAAATTTCCTTTTTTTTAATACTGAATATATCCAGAAGTTTGCTCAACTCTAGTTATTTTTAACAATTTGTATAGATTCTTTAGGGTTTTCTAAACATGTCATTGTGTCAATTATTCAATTATTTGCAAATGAGTGTTCTGTTTTCTCTTTCCCGTAATTGTATCTTTTACATAATTTTCCCTTTCTATATACCCTTTTGAGAGTTTAATTCAGTATCAAACTTATTTGGTAACAGTGGGCATTGTATTTCATTATTGATCTTTAAGAAAAAAATTCTAATATCTTCTAATGTTCCTGAATTAAGTGTGTTATTTATTGAGGTTTTTGGTAGCTAAACACTGTATAAGGTTTTACAGCTATAATTTATCACCTTAGTCTCAAGGACTCTCAATCATGAATGGATACTGGATTTTAACAGAGGGTCACTTCTGCATTTGTCTTGGTGGTCATGATTTTTCTCCTGAATTTGTCAATGGTGAATTATTGATTTTTTTATATTTTACTGATGAAATGATGAAACAACTTCAAAACCAAACTTAGTCTTGGTATATTATCTTGATTACATACTGTTAGATTTGATATAGCAACATTTTACCTCCAATTCTGTGTTTATATTTACAAGTAATATTTGACTATTTTCCCTTTCTCATACAATGCTGGTGTTTGATAAGACGGCTATGCTAATCTCACAAAATGAATTGATGAGTGTACTTTCTTTTTCTATTTCCTGAAAGGCTATGAAATAGAATTTTTTTTTTTTTTTTTACTGTAAATACTTGGCAGAACATATTACTGAAGCCCAGTTTCTGCAATGAGTTTACGCATTTTAAAATGACAGCTTCAATACCTAAAAGTCAGCCAGAAGCACAGACATAAGCACGCACACCCACCACATACAGGTCAACCTGGAAACTGACCTGATATTTCACATCTCTCCCGCCCTATGATGTGCTGTGTGACTCCTTTGTCACTGCAGCTGGCCTTTATTAGACATTTAAAGAATGAACTTTTGGCTTTTGTTATGAACTGAATGCTTGTGTCCCCTCAAAAGTCACATGTTGAAATTATTTGTTTTTTTAACTTTGAGATAGATACTCAGTTCAATAATTCTCATGGTTTCCTTTCCTAAATCTGAATATATACTTAAAGTTATACATTTCACTCATAGGTATTATTTTAGATGAATACTACTAGTTAAGGATTTTTTGACAGAGAAGTCATTCAAAAGTCTTTGTTTTCAAAAACAGGGATTTAAAATGATCTTTGTTATTGACTATAAGCATTACTGCACTATGATCAAATCACACATTCTTAATCTACTTTAATTAACTTAAAAAACTAATTTTTTTGAATTAATTTCAACTCAAAAACAAACAAAACCTAATTGCTTACAATGTGAGTTTCAAATAAGTAGTGAACACAGGAACCACATAGTAAACATCAATAAGCCTACTGTCTCATTTTGGTAATAGGTAACATTTTTTTCTGGCTTGCTGTTATACATATATACATTTTAAATGAAATATTTAAAATTCATTATAAACAATTTTATTCCAATATAATTCAGTATATATTTGTAATTTCCCTAAAAATAGAATACATTTCATGAACATTCTGTATGTGTATAAAAAGAATGTGTATGCTGTAATATTGGGTTGTTGGGAAAGTCATGATACATTTTTGCAAAGAAAAACATAGAAAAATATGTCATGACTTTCCCAACAACCTAATATTTTATGTATGTTCATTAAAGGTTATTAAATTAATTAATGAGGTTGTTCTTACCTTTTAAATCCTTACTAGCTCATTTTTGTTGCTTATTACATCAATGAATCAGTGTATTTATTGTCTCTCCTACTATGGCCATATTTGTTTTTATGTATTCTGAAGTCAAACTACTCGTCACAGTAAGCTATACAGCCCCAGCTATGTGCTATTTTATAGTATATTCATTCTACCCACAGAATTTTCATGCCTAAAGTCAACTTTTGTTCACAGATATGTATATATCAGCTGAACTTACTACTGAAAGTATTTAATTAATATATTTTGTGAATCAATACAATGCAGGAAAGAATAAAGGAATGAAAAGCAACTCCAGATACCAGAGACAGGGTGGGAGGAAGATGGGAAATGTCAAAGGGTGAGAAATGGCCGGGTGGTGGGGGGTGTATATATAAATAAGAAACTAGAAATGGAATATTATTTGTTGATGATAACATGTATGATTTAGCCATCTTGTAGTCTATTCTGGCTGGAAAATTGCATTTTGTATGCTATGGTGCAGTTCAGTGAAAGTATGTAAAATAATTTTTAAAAAAGGAAAAAAAAAACTATGAGATACATTAAATAATTCCTTAATGTCTGCGTTTTCTGATATAATACCAGGTGATTCTTCATCTGTGTTCATGCTTTTCCATCTTTTTAAATCTTAACCTTTCTGTGTGCTTACGTTTTTAAAAAAGTCTCCTATAAACAATGCATATTTTAAAACTCAGTCTAACAATACTTGTCTTTTAACTGGAGCATTTGTACTACTTCATTAACTACCATTATTTATACTTAAGGTAAATCTATCAATCTTTATGTGCTTTCTATATATTCTATTTTTTTTCCCCTTTCCTATCTTGACTGCTAATGGAATGACTGTGATTTTCCTGTTATCCATCTCGAGGTTACATACTATTTTTCTAGGTTTTATTATACTACTTATACTTTTTATTACAAGTTTCTCAGAAACTATAAGGACCTCAGATCACCTTAAATCTATTTACCCTTTCTCATTCTCTGACCTTTATGCCGTCTTTTGGTGATATTGTTTGTATACGTGTGTACACACATATCACAAGATTTTTAGTTTATAAATACTATATTAATTATATTATGCATATATTTTGTTCTAATTGTTTATACATTTTTGACATTCCATTGAGGATTACTTTCCTTCTATCTGAAGTATACTCTTTAGAATTTCATTTTAATAATTTGTCTAAAAGATCTCATCCTTTTTCTTTTTCCCCTTCATGAGCAAGAGAGTGAATAAGAAAGAGGTAGTCAGACAGACAGACACTGCACCCTCAACAGAGTCTTGATGCCGCAGTCAACTCTCAGTCAGCTCTGCATCATGGGTACATGTTTCCTTGTCATACTCAGGGAGGTCTCCAGACTTAAACTGGAAATGTTTCCATGTAGGATTGCCTTCCAGAGCACTGTGTTTTACTGCTGTACCACCATTTGGACTGTAAAAATGTCTTATTCTTGAAGAACATTTTCTTTGTAATAGAACTGTAGATCAAGTATCATCTTCAGTTGATATACAGATCATCCATCTTAGCATCTCTGGCTACTGAGAAGCCCGGTATCAGTCTAAAGGTACCCATTGTTTTTCTCTAGCCACCTTAAAGATTTTCTCTTTGTCTTTGGTGTGCTATAATTGCAAATCACATAGTAGTTAACAATTTTAAAATGTCCCTGAAATTCACTAGGTTTCTTGAATTTGTGGATTGGTATCAGCTATCAATTCTAAAAAAATTTCATACATTATTTTTATATATTGATTTTTTTCCTTCATATTCCCTCCTATTTCTTTTTTGAGAGGGTCTAAATATATGCTAAATCTTCTTACTGCAATTTCTATTTTTTAAAAATCCATTCCTCTGTATTTTATATGTGTTTTTGTTTCGTTGAGATACCTTGTGGGTAATTTTTTCTGACCTATCTTTAAATTACATAATTCTCTTTTACTGCGTCTAATTTGAAGTTAAGTCCAGCTATCAAGTTTTTTAAGCTTTCTTTCTGAATTTTTCATTTCTGGAAATTTTATTTTAGTTTCTTTCATATCTACCATGTTGATATTTACACTTTACAGTTACCTGATAAAATGTTTAGACATTGTACTTATCTTCTTAAACGTAATATATATAATTGTATTAGATAATTTCAATATGTGAAGTATCTGTGATTCTGTGTCTGTTTTTTCTGTTTTAGTGATCTTTGTGTTGAGTCCTAGTATTTCTGGTTATCTATGATCATATATTTGAAAAATTATTTGTAGAAATAATTTCAGGCCTTGAAATATAATATCTTTGGGACCAGCAGTTAGCATAATGACTATGTCACTGGACTCCCATGTAGTCGACCACGGTTTGAGTCCTGGACCCAGTGGCTTTAACTCACACTGGGCACATGTGCGTGTGTGCCCAAGATCCCGAGAGGAGACTAGAGTAGAAGAGACTGCAGTGTGGCCATCCCCCTGGGGGGTGATTTCTCGCTTTTTGTCTCTCTCTGTCTTTTTGGAGAGCGCACATGCCCTATAGCAAAAACCTCTCCAAAAAATAAAAAGAAATATAGTATCTTTTTATAGAGAACATTTTTGATTTGCTCTGCCAAGAGCCAGGAACTCTGGCAGTCTGAAAAAAATCTTAATAAACATCGAATCACTCAAATTTTTAAACTCAGCTGAAAGTCTGGGTGTGTCTGAGGGCTGATTTACTTCCAGTTCACCCTTACTTTTGAGCTGTGGCCCTTTGGGGTTCTTGCTATAAAGAGGAATTATATCAGGTACTCACCCTGGCCAGGCCTGGGAGTCCATCTTGCTAGCCCTAACACAGCACCATATATCTCAGTTTTCTACTTCAGATTAGCAGAGTAATTCAGGGTAAAAGTGGCCCCAAACTGCCAAGCTTACCACTATGGGATCCCATTCTTTCACACTGATCCTCCTTATTAAAAACTCTTTATTAGGCCTTTGCTGTTCTTAAGAACTTAAAATACATACCTTTTTTTTGAGCTTTGTACAACTTACCAATTTTCTAAATGACAATGTTATTCTAAATTAACAGTGCCCCACTGACTTGAAGAACAATTTTTATTTTCTTAACTAAATTAAAACTATGAACCAATCATCTGGGTAAGTTTTAAAAATGAAATTGCATTTATATAGCTTCTTACTGCTGTTAATGTTACAATATTTTGATTCATCAAACATGAAATAACAATCCTAAAATATTTTAGAAAAAAAAAAATTCAAGGATAAATAGCAGCTTTCACTTGAAGGGTCAGGCATTCATTGATTTATTAATTCATTCAGTGACCAAATGTTTATGCCAATTATGTGGAAAGTAGTAAATAAGATTTTTCTCTTTTAAATAACATTATAGTGCAATGAAAATAGTTTTGGAAGTTTTGCAAGACAGCATATAGAATTAAAAACTTCTCTGAATTTAAGGTCATCAATTAAAGACAATTACAGAATTGAAATAATAATGAAGCTCATTTATAGAAAATACTAAGTTATTCATTTAACATTGTGAATATTGTCTTTTAGTCGCATGATGCTGTTTTGATTTTGGTTCCCTGAATAAAATATTCCTTTTATTTTGGATAGAATGATGAAAATGATTCATATATTTTGTTAGAACATGGATATATTAATTATTGTGACAGAGTAGGGAAAAAGCATAATTTACACATGTAAGAAAAATTCATATGTCTCAATTTTTTTTCCTATAGATATATTATCCAAATTAAATAAATCGACTTACATAGTTCTTCTCTATCAAGAGACTGTGCACCGCCTCCAAACAAGCCTTTAAAGAATCCCCGGTTTGGTGCTTCAGGTGTTTCTACAGGAGTGAAGAGTTCACCCAACATTTCCTTTAAAAATCAAAACAAATTGCAATTGTTAAAACTTCATAGAACTCAAACTATATGTCATAAATCATCACTGTAAACTTTTAAATTTAAGCCTACAACGCTACCTATTGAGCACAATTAGTGAGCATATTTCATATTGTCAGTATGGTCAGATACATACTGACTTCTCAAATAGGAAATTTCTAAGACTAAATTCCCTAAGCCTAACTTGCTGTTTGCTCCTTTTGCTGCGTTACTTTCTCTGTATCTCAGACAGATGATATTTCTCCCTAGTATGTGAAGAGATGCTAACCTCCCAGACGAAATTTTCATGTAACTCTAGGTCTTCTCACAGAAAAATTTTCACTAGCAAGTTTAAAAGTCCAGTGTAACGATGTAGTTTTAGAATTATAACTTTTAGCTCAGTCAGAAATTAGTAATTTAGGCATACCAACTTCTATTTTCATAAACATACATTGAGGTGAAAATTACGCCAATACACATCTGAATTTCAGAAATTCAGCAACAAGATGGGAAGGCTTTCTTCTGTATAGTCAGAGTTTTCTGAAATTACTGTCAATATTCTTCAGAGACCATAAATGATAAGAATTTAAGTCAGGAGAAAGGAAGAAAGATGGCTGACATCATTTCAGTAACATTTAGAGAAAAGAACGTTTTCTATAAGAAAACGGTCTGGTAACAGCAATATTTACAAAGTAGCCTAAGAAAGTCACAGAAGTAAATTAAAAATACATCAAGGCTTTGGGGTTGCATTTCTGACCATGAAAGAGAAGTAGTTATGATACAATGGACAAATCAACCATTGGACAGGTAGTTCTGTGTATGCTTTATTACATTTTTATAGCTGGAGTGAAAGTATATATTTGTCAGGTTTCTCCCCATTACTGGGCTAAAAAAAGCTAATAAAGAATGCCCACAGATTCTGCTTTAAACTTATCCACATTAATGTCGTCTCTCCAACCAGACTGTCAAAGTATAAGATAATCATTAACATCACTTAACAGAGTTTCACTTAAATTACTGAAGTGGATAGAAGCTCTTACATTTTTAGTGTCTTTCCTCTGAATCTATAAAGAAAAAATTCTAATAAAGCGGAGTAAATGTAGAATAAAAGAATTTCTAAATTGAACAAATAAAACTTACAAAACCCACCACAGAACATAGAGTTACCTATTATTACACTGAAATTTATACACCACTATATAACAAAGGTAATTTTAGGCATATTTCCAATCCTTTTTAAACTTTATTTCACAGGCCATAATTTAAGCCGCCTATTAAATCGACACAACAAGAGTGACAATAATGGCAGCAGTTACATCTGAATGCCTTTCATGCTAAATCAAGAGTAGTAGTACATATAAATAGTGTTAGTGTAAAGATATATTTTTAAAATTTCCCCCTCTTGATAATTATGGCTTACATTTCCTAATTTACCTGTTGTTTAATGTGTTTACAGTTTTATAAAGGTAAGGTAAGAAATACAAACTGAGATTATAGTTACGAAGAATAACATTAGTGAAGTAAAACCTGGAACCAGATAGACCTGGTTTTATTTTCATTCCTGACTTTTAGTAGCAGAACAATCTTAAACAATTTAGATTTAGATTCTTACTTATATTTGGGTGGAAGCTGATTTTCAAAACTTCCTAAGTTCTGAAATAAAATGTTTCAGGACTAATTTTCTAATATAGTCTAGCATACTGAAATAACAACATTAGACATTATATAAACGTACTCCATACCAGGCACTCAGCTAAGCCTTTTATGTGTTTCCTTTAATCCATATCATACTCTTTAAGATACCATTTTTATCCTAATTTCCAAAGATGATGAAGCTCAGACACATTAAGAAACACATTAAAGTCATATAACTGCGTGTTTAACCAGAACAGACTTAAATTCAGTTTTCTTGAGTCTAAAACTCATAGTCTAAAAATAGTAGGCCACAAATTAAAAATTATACATGAGTAGAAAAGGATTAATTAACGACAAAGACTTTCACTAGTAAGGTCCTTTCGATAGAAATTTCTTCTAAATAGCAATCAATAGCTTGGCTCAATATTTCAACAACACTTCTATTTTAGAAGGTGAAACTAAATTGATTTTTTTCTAACACATGTGCAAGCACATGTGTCACTTAAATACTAACATAAGATATAGTTCTGTATTTAAATAATTTTTGATAGTTTCTCAAAAAACAGATCAACAAAAATACAGGAAAACAATATAATCATATTCATTTATACAACCCCTTGACTGTGAGGATAGATAGTTTAGGGGCCCTTAGAGATAACTTGAGCTCTAAAAAAAATTACAGTAGTATTTTTATTATTTACCTGAAGATTTTCACAGGTCTCTTGACTATAAGTAAGTCTCTGGATTTCTGTAGGTGAAACAAGATATAATGCTTGTCCGTTGTTGGTGAAACAGAATGTTCTAGCTATCCGCATATTGGTCAGGGGCAAGTAATACACATCCAATAAAGGCCTTAGACTTGGCAAACTTGAGAAAAAAGTTAAAAACTTGTTAATAACAAATAAGGTAGGTTTTAGTCTTAAAGCATTATAAAAGTTAAACATGGTAAATCTTATTACTGTGTTTACCTGAGTGGGTATACAAAGATAAAAAATGATTTATACTCCTCAAATATTTGTTCACCATTAACCAAATGAATTCTTCAGTGTATAAGGCTATAATTAAAAGTATTTCTTTCAAACTGACTGTATTTCTGTAATAAAACATGAGGAAGGAGATGCTCTATCTCTGTTTAAAAAGTTGTCTCTTACCTAAAAGTCATAATATGTCCATTGGCACAGAAACACGCAAGGCAGATACTGTTGCTCAATGCTACAATATCTCCGCGAAGCACAAATGAGGTCTCTGTAATGTTTTGCTTATAAGCACAGTTCTGCGTTGGCAGTGAGATTACTTTTGCTTGCTTTTCAGAACATATCACTGCATACTGGTTTTCACTAATTTCCTGAGAAGAGGAGGGGGACACGGAGACAGGACGCCGTTTTTTTGATTTCTCCTTCTCATCTTTTTCCTCAGGAACATTGTGTTCTCTCCAGGGTTCAAATGCAGGTGGCACTAAGCAGCCTGTGGTGTCCAGAAACGCCATTCTCAAGATTGCACCTTTTAGCCTTAATATGGTACCTGCAATACAGATGTTAATATCTTACTATTAACATTAATATTTTAATCCACAGAGTAAATACGATGCCAATGTGGACACAGAACAGACCCTAAAAAACAGGTCGAATGCACGCTGAATTGAAATTGTGCACACTGACAGGATCCCAACTTCAAGTGTAATATTATAAGCCCCAGAGATAAAAACAAAAACACTAACTAGAAATTCATAACTTAATTAAATTACGATAAATTTTGCAAATATGTGAGGGGTGCCATCAAAAATTCATGAGAATGTATATTACGAAAAACTATGTAAGGATTTCAAAGTGGTTTCTTTTTTTTGTTGTTCCACTCTCCATGAAGTTTTCAAAGTCCCTCGCACGCCTGGTCTTGTTATTTATTTATTTTTTCTTGAGAGGTTTATGCTATAGGGCACGTGCACTTACCAGATAGACAGAGAGAGACAGACAGACAGAAAGTGAGAAATCACCCCCCAGGGGGGACGGCCATGCCACAATCCCTTCTCCTCCATTCTCCTCTCGGGATCTTGGGCACGCATGCACACGCGCCCGGCGTGAGTTTAAGCCCCGGGTCCGGGACGTGAACTGCAGTCGACTACATGGGAGTCCAGCGACATAGCCATTACGCCAACTGCTGGTCCCTCTTTTTATTTATTTTTTTTTTAAAGAATTATTTTTTTTATTTATCTTTATTTATTTATTTTAATTTGACCAGAAAAGCGAGAGAGAGAGAGAGAGAAAGGAAGTGATGAAACAAGCCACCGGTTCTAAGACTTGAAACTTGGTTGGCCATGTGGGAGACCAGTGCCCTTAACTACCACGCCATCTGCTGTCGCCCTCTTTACTTTCCCCCACATGTCTGGTCTACAGATAAACCACTGATATGCTGAAGCAACAGGAACCACACCCTCTCTCATGCCCAGCGGCAGGTGTACTGTCAGTAAGTAGAGGAGGAAGTAGATGGCACTAGAGCAGTGCTGTCCAGTATGGCAGCCACATGTGGCTAGAAAGCACTTGAATGTGCCTTGTCCAAATGGTGCTGGACAACCAGTGTGCTATGAGAGGGTCAGGACGTGCACCAGATATGAAGATTTCGTTACAAAAAATAAACGTAAAATATCTCAATAATTGAAAAATAATGCTTACATGATGAAATGATGGTATCTGGTTATATAAAATATGTTATAATTATTTTCACCTTTTTTTTTTTTTACTTTTTAATGTGGCTACTAGAAAATTTAAAATTATATATGTTGTTCACATTATATTTCTAGTAGTACTAATCTAGAGGGCCAAGGGAAGATAATTCTAAGTATTTCTAAATATCACCTCTAAAATTAATTTCCTTTTAAATAATTTACCAATGTCAGGTACATTCAAGGCATTATTTTGGTAGTTTATAGGCTTTCCTTAGAGGTTACATTTCTTGACTAACTCTAAGTTTCTCTCACATCTTTGAAAATGTACAGATACGCTTTATGCTCATTTCTCCTTTTCCCTCTTTATGAAAGAGAAATGGGCAGGAACCAGAAACAGGCACTTTTGGCAGGGTCTTGCCACTGTTGTGATCCTCCCACCCCCCATAACCTCTCACTAGCTGGAAGCACAGGCATGTGCCACTGCGCCCAGTGTTCAGGCTGGCCTGGCAAACACACCCAGGACTCCCATGCAGTTGCCAGCTGCCCCAGTAATATTACTGTGTGTCACCAGGGCTAGGCCAATGTGTTCTTGCAATTAAGCTCAATGAAACATTAATCCAGTAGAAGGGATATTAGCATTCCAATATTATTTGAAAGTTTTCATTTTTATAACTTTATATTCATATAATATAGCTTGTGAAAGTTTTTCCCATGTATTTTTATCCCTTAGAGTATGAATTTCTAGTGTTCTCTCAGAATTTTTCTTAGGAAAAAAATTTTTTTCATTGTACTTGTATGTTTTTGTCTACTGTATGTTT